TAGAGCCAACTGGGGAGTGGAAGTGTGAGCCTTTTTGGCTTTAGTTCTGAAATAGCCTGCAATTAAATTACTGCTTGTGTGTATTTCCCTCAACAGCAGCCCCGTTTGCCAGCAGCAGCTAGGACTGAATCTCTCTTGGATCATCGGGGCGGTGCATCTAACACAACAGATGCCCAGGCAGATAGCATCGTGGGTAAGTTCCTCCTTTGGCTGCCAGGAGACAGCTCTGTGGAACTTGGAATAGGTGTGGGACATACATCATCGAGGGGGAAATTGACTTTGAAGATGAACAAGGGAAGAAAATGGATTGTGTACCCCAATGAACGTGAGCCTGGTGGATGGCTATCAGCAAGGGAGGGAGAATTGCTATATAAGCAATCTGTGGGTACCATTTTCTCTCTGATTCTCTCAGCAGGATCCTGATCCAGATCATCTTAGCTGAGACAGACAGAACCAGGTGGTGAAACAGCTTTATATCTCCATATTCCAGTTTTTTTCATAGTATTTAACAGTTGGCAGAATTGATGATAACAAGAATAATACAACTTTATAAGCCCTTTCACATCCTTTTAAAGTTCCTTTATATCTACTTTCCTGTGTTGGGTAAAGAAGTTCAGCAGAAAAGTTATTTTATGGAGATGACACTGAGGCCCAGAGCAGTTTAATAGCTTGTCCAAGGGCATCTAACAAGAGGGTCCTGGAACTGAAACTCGAATCCACTCAGATGTCCAAAAGCCACGGGATGTGGTTGATAATAACTGTAAACGTTCTCTTGTTGTGGAACTGCGGACAGTTCTGCGTTCTCGCGATGCCACCACGGAGGGCCCATGTGCAGCTTTTAAAACACTTTCTGATTAGAAGATAGTCCAGTAGAAAACTTAAGTGTTTGGTAATAGAAACATATAAAGAAGGAAAAATTACATATAATCTCTTTACTCTTTCATATATTCAACCTTGTCTTCTAGTTGGGTCCCTCCTATTGGTTTAAAAAAAAATTTTTTTAATGTGTTTATTTTTGAGAGAGAGACAGAGCATGAGTGGGGGAGGGGCAGAGAGAGAGAGAGGGAGACACAGAATCTGAAGCAGGCTCCAGGCTCTGAGCTGTCAGCACAGAGCCCGACACGGGGCTCCATCTCAGGAACAGCGAGATCATGACCTCGGCTGAAGTCAGACGCTTAACCAACTGAGCCACCCAGGTGCCCTTCTCCTATTGGTTTTAGATGTGCTAAAGTCTCTGTCATGGGA